TGTTTTCAAAGCAGTTTTATTGTCTCGATCAATAGGTGATTTCTTCCGTTTTCTCGATAGCAAATTGGTCTTGATATCTAGTCAGAAGTTGGAAGGGTGTTCGGGGCGAGCTGTCCAAACGTGTGCGCCATAATGCACAGCTAGCTACAGTAAGCTCCTTCTTTGGGGATCGTAGGTTTCTCCTAGGAAGGGATTTCAGGAAACCTTTCTATCATGAACTGTGCCTTGAACTATGCGATACCTTTGACACCACTTTTTAAGGTTTGTGGCTGTCATCTATCCAACTGTCTACAGAAAAGCGTTTAATGAACGAACTACAGCAGTAATGCTACTACTAACCACAACTCTTTCACTGATTTACTTTAGTATTTACTTCGTAGGTGAGTCGTGACGTATCCATCTCTCAGATGGTAAATTTGCCTGATTTTTACCCATTCAGATGGTTGTAGCTTCTATTACGAGCACAAATCAGATGCATGGACATTTGGCACCGACTTGTGCAGCCAGAATATGGCGTTCTACGTTGATATGTGCTTCAATATAGCCCTATTCGCTATCAGTTGTGTCATCGATGTGGTGGTATTCACGCGTTTACGATCATCGACCAAAGTAAGTTTATGAAAACCAAAATTTTCCGTACAGACGGGGCTTTTTATTCCAGAAGATGATGACGACCTCTGCAGCTCATATGGAGCAGGCAAATAAACTGCGGTTAAGGAGGGAAACTCTGCTATTTGCCCAAGTAAGTGTTGGTTTATTGAAAAGGTTCAACTTACTCAACCGTTGACATTTTTGTTGTGCAGAAGCATTTTGATTTTTCAGGCTATTCTCAACTCGTTTTTATATTCGTTTATGCTGCTGTGTTTTCATTTAATTGCTCAGTTCACGCCCAGCACGTTGGGCCAATTTTTCTTCAAAACATTCGTTTGGAGTGTCGCCCACTCAGTCGACGGGTAAGTGTCTCAAGTGCTTGGATATTACAAGATCCAGATCTTTTCCGTAGCCATATGGGGTCCAGACCTTTTCATTCCTTTTGATGATGCCCTTTTCCGCAAGTATCGTGCAATAGCTTCCCGCAAAAGACGAAGAAAATTTCTTTAGTCTGGGCAGCTTCATCACCTTTGGTGGACCTATTTTTAATAGACTACATGTACCTGAGTTAGGCCCTTCGAAACACTTTGGTTCTCGTTTATTCATTATCATAGTGTTTACTTTTGTGTTTACTTTTCAGACTGATCCTCATATACCTCAATCCGGAAATTAAGCGACATCTCGTGGGCATTCGCCACTTTGTTCAGTTTATTAAGGATCCCGTCAGCACCAATACTGAAAGAATAGGACCGGTCTATTCTACAGCAGTCAAATGAGAAGGTGCATTCGAATCGATTGACCAGACACCTGCAACATCTCAAAGACACCTTTTCACTACCTCCT